ACACCGGCATAAAGCCCAGATCGGTAGCTCAACTAGAGTGACCATCAGGTTGTTGGTCACCAGTCTAGACAAAGCCCTTCTCCATCAATTGCTCAGTTTGGCCAGGAGGCCAGCTCTAGGAAGAGTCCTGGCTGTTTCAAACTTCTTCCATGAAGGGAGACTACATGCTTCTGTGAACCTTTAATGCTGCAGAAATTTTTCTGTACCCTTCCCCCAATCTGTGCCTCGATACAATCCTTTTTCAGTCAGAACTCATTGAACACAGCGTGATTGTGAATCGCCGACAGCTCCAGATATTTAGCATGCCAAATATTTCACGGGCGTCAGCGACGCGTCGGCGATTCTCTCAGATCGCGTCTTTGATAATTCACACGAGCACCGATTTGCCTCCGATTTCAGGCATTTGTCTGCGATTTCGCAAAACCTGTCGGCGAGTGAAAAATCAGGCTAAAATCATGCAGTGTTACTCTTAACTCTGCATTATGTACATGTGATTTTTTTTTTTATACATTTGCAAAGATTTCAAACAATCTTTTTTCACGTTGTCATTATAGGGGTATTATTTGTATAATTTTGAGGAAAATAATGAATTTAATGCATTTTGGAATAAGGCTGTAACACAACAAAATGTGGAAAAAGTGAAGCGCTGTGAATACTTTCCAGATGCACTGTAATCTAAGCTTATGCCGCTCAGTTTTTGAGCAAACATTGACAAAATGATCCACAAATAATGTTGTTTTATAAATAAGCAATTTTTCGTAGGCCAGTCATTTTTTGACCAGAAACACCACAAGGTGGGGAAAAAAAATCCTCAGAAAGTACAAAAATTAAATGTATGTATGTATGTATTTTAATTAATGTATTTAAATTTCCTTTTTTATTTCCTTCCTTTCCTCCAGGTCAAAATGACCAGAACACAACATGAGGGTTAATTGTCATGAATATAAATGTCACAATGCAAAAACAAAAAATAAAACAAAAATAACAACAACTAATCATTTTTATGCAAAATATGATTAAACTTTTCATTCGATTTTGGGTGAAATATGACCTGGACAAGTACAGTATCAGTGCATGCTACTGCAATCAATCAATCAATACATATATAAAGACAGAGAGAGATACATTCTGCATATTACTCAAACTTGCATCATTACAAAAATATTTTTATTAGCAATGTTTTGGTTAATTGTTTTAGTCTAGTTTATATTGTACTTTCATTCCACACAACTACGAATTATTTGGGTGCACAAGGCAGAAGATTTCTTAATGTTAAAATCCAAATATAGTAACGATTTCAGGCATTTGTCTGCGATTTCGCAAAACCTGTCGGCGAGTGAAAAATCGGGCTAAAATCATGCAGTGTTACTGTTAACTCTGCATTATGTACATGTGATTTTTTTTTTTATACATTTGCAAAGATTTCAAACAATCTTTTTTCACGTTGTCATTATAGGGGTATTATTTGTATAATTTTGAGGAAAATAATGAATTTAATCCATTTTGGAATAAGGCTGTAACACAACAAAATGTGGAAAAAGTGAAGCGCTGTGAATACTTTCCAGATGCACTGTAATCTAAGCTTATGCCGCTCAGTTTTTGAGCAAACATTGACAAAATGATCCACAAATAATGTTGTTTTATAAATAAGCAATTTTTCGTAGGCCAGTCATTTTTTGACCAGAAACACCACAAGGTGGGGAAAAAAAATCCTCAGAAAGTACAAAAATTAAATGTATGTATGTATGTATTTTAATTAATGTATTTAAATTTCCTTTTTTATTTCCTTCCTTTCCTCCAGGTCAAAATGACCAGAACACAACATGAGGGTTAATTGTCATGAATATAAATGTCACAATGCAAAAACAAAAAATAAAACAAAAATAACAACAACTAATCATTTTTATGCAAAATATGATTAAACTTTTCATTCGATTTTGGGTGAAATATGACCTGGACAAGTACAGTATCAGTGCATGCTACTGCAATCAATCAATCAATACATATATAAAGACAGAGAGAGATACATTCTGCATATTACTCAAACTTGCATCATTACAAAAATATTTTTATTAGCAATGTTTTGGTTAATTGTTTTAGTCTAGTTTATATTGTACTTTCATTCCACACAACTACGAATTATTTGGGTGCACAAGGCAGAAGATTTCTTAATGTTAAAATCCAAATATAGTAACTTCCCCCTCCTCTGAAACAACTTTTCCTTGCTGCTGATGCAACAGGTGAAGAAATGCATTGCAAATTCATTGCAAGTCTCATGGGGTTTATAAATCAAAGTAAAGGGTTGTTAATTTGCATGTCCTGTCTGAAAACCCCTCCAGCTGACCACATGAGTATTTAAAGTTCGATCTGGCACATAGACCTTTTCACTGTACTTACATCAAGTCATCCATTCACCTAACAGAGAAACGTGGCTCACTGACAGACAACAGCCTGTTGAAAGATCTATAAAACCACCATTACAAATGCTTATTTGCCATTTTTCTGGTTATTGTTGCTATATCTTTAATAAAACGGCTCTAACATTGAACCAAGATGCAGCACATCTTACATGAGCCGTCAAGCCTTGAATCATATCAATAGCTTTGCTTTAAACTTTTTATGATTTGTGTCTGATGTATTGAAGGATCCTTAGATCCCCACATGCAAATTGTGTGTGTTGTGTTTTAAATGTTCATGTTTTTAATTCATTTATAATCATTTTATAATCATGATTTATTATTTGATTATTTTTATCATTTGATTATTTTTTATCATCTATCATTATATCATTTAAGTATTTTATTTGTTTATTCATTTATTATGTTATTATATTTTATATTTCTGATTTATTTTTCCTTGCTTATGCATGTTCATTGTAGTTCAATCTCATGCCTGTGGGGTTTCATGAACTGTTTTGTCTGTATGAATAAGAGATAGATAAGAGGGAATGTTTATGGAAACCCAAGGCTTATGGGATGATGTTGTGAATCAGTTTGATATATCATTACTTGCTGAATTTCTGTGCATCAGACGAAGTTTGAACATTGAGACATACACAACTAAGATTGTTTAATAAACTCTGTTACTTTTTATCATCATCACTTCGTCTCCTGCTTCTGCTCTTCTCTGGCTGTCCTCGGTCAACTCGGACTGACAGAAGACTGTTAAACACTCTTTTTGGGTATTTTTGGATACCAGACAAGACCTGCTGTTAACAGGGTTTGGGTATCGATCTGCTGACTAGTTGTTCTGTTACCGGACAAACTGATATTTTCTGACAGGATCTGGCGTCCGGGGCTGGATCCTAATCATTATCTGGCGTGGAGACCCGATCTAACAGTATGAAAACATTTCTCACACAAAACACGCTATGGAACTGTCATGTCACCAGATAAGCTTCAATATGTTTCTTTATGCAGCTCAAACCTTGTAAAAGCATTACTAGAACATTTCCCATATATGAAAATATATATTGTCCTTCAGATCCAACACAAAAAGAGCTCAGGACTTTTGCTCTTTGTGCATCTTTAAGGCCACTGATGTGGTCACAGGCCTGTTTGGTTTATTTCTTGACCCAATGAACCACATCTGAGCCTTATCCTTTGCAGGGTTTATGAAGGTAAAATTAAGACTTTACGAGTTTTTCTAAGACCAAGTAAAGATGAAGTGAGTTTATGATTAAAACAAGAACAAACATCTGCCAGTGGGGTCAGAACATTCAACTTAATTTAAAGGAAAAACAAGCTTTTTTAATGCCCCACTGACAGATATGTGTTCATGTTTCAAACAAAAATTAATACTTTTTCTCTGAAAACAAGACTTAATATCTTCATCTTCCATATCAAGTAAATGATATCTTGTTTTAAGGATGTTTGGATATTTAAACTGGAAAATAAAACAAAAATACAGAGGAAATATTCATTTTTTCCCTGTTTATGCTTCTTGTAATTAGGACTTTCAGTTCAGATTTTAGACTTTTAAAAGACTGAACTTGTGGAAGGGCAAAATAAGACATTTTTAAAAATGTTTTTGGGTTGCAAATTGGTGGTTTTTGTGATAAAGAATTGAAAAGAATCCATCTTAATTTTGCATAAATGAACCACTATTGATGACACAATCATCATTCTTTGTCTCTGTAGAATCTGCATTCAACAAACTCAATTTCTCTTGCAATGCATCCAAAACAGAAGAATGTAAATGCATTCTATGTTTTCTGAAGTGCAACTGAAGGGTCAACGACAACTTGAATAAGAAAGTGACGCAAACCACGCGTTCCAATTTTGGCAGCTTTTTTCTTGAGTTGTTACCTAGCTACTGCTAGCACTCAGGACGGCACTAACACCGATGATGCAATTGTACTATACAGTAGTTCAGAAAACAGCCAGGGGAAAAGAGCCTAAATCTACTGGCTTAAACGAGTTTTCATGAATGCTAACAACAGGCATAAGTTGAACTTTTACAGATCTCTAGTATAACTAATTCTGATTGCTCAGTTATGGCATTCTAGGGAAAATCATTTTGCATTATGACATAATAGAATAATTTCTCAAACCTTTTATGTCTATTTATCTATTTATTTGCAGAGTAGATGCACAAACAGCAGGATTATTCCTTACATATTAACCCATTTATTTATTTTATTTCTGTTAATTGCATGTGACAGATGGATGTGTCTGGCTGTATTTTCCATGACTGTGTTGATTCATTTATGCACCTGAATATAATGATTCATTCACAATACAATAAAAAACAATAAATACTCTGACAGAATTAATCTAAGTTAATAAGAAGAAGCAGTTGATGCATAAAGATTAATTCCACTGAGATTAATACCGCTACTAAAAGACTGTAAATGTCACTTGCCACATTATGCAATTAAACCACACTCTCATCAAATAGGCTGTAGCATGAGATTGAAGTCGTAAGCTTGTCTCAAGGACTTTCCTCTCAATATGTTTTCACATATAGAAATTGTTCTTTTGATGAAGGTGTTTTCATACCTGGTGCTCGTAAAGGCAGTCCGTTGTCCAGCCCTCGAGGTTTAGTGGCGATGAACAGGTAGCAAAGCACACAAACGGTGATGATGAAGGCTAAAAGCACCACAGCAGCTATAGACAAACCAACCAGGGCTCCCAAACTGAAGAACAGAGACAGAAAAAGAGATAGATTAAACATTAAGATTAAACAGCTGCAAAGAAAACAAAATTTTATGAAAACAATTATACAAAGGCATTAGTACACTATTAGAGAAAGTTTATTTATAAACATTTGAGTAATTCTAAGAATGTAAAGTTGAATGTAAACATTCATGTTCAAAATTATTCAACTCCCAAAAGTCAAAATTGGTGCAGAGTCTTTTATTGTTTAAAACCACCAATAAACACTGCTTGGGGTGCTTAGAAGCTTCTGTATAGCTTCGGTCACTATAGCTTCTCTATAGCTTTTGTGAGAGCTCTGTTGACTTGTCCTATTTGCTACTCCAATTCAGCACATGCATGGGCTAATTGTATGCATGTGTAACATCTCAAGCTAATTATGTTTTCTAATAGAGTTTCTAAAGGTTTTAACACCATTTTGTTCCCCACCATACAAGAAAGTGACTAAAACAGCAATGTTGAATCGGGGTTGAAAATTATGACATAGCTGTATTATTAAAAATCTTATAACTCAAAAACATTACATTATATAATTGACATTATCACATTTAATATGTCAGTAAAGTTTTAAAGATGCAATTTCTATAAAGTCCTGAATCTTCAGAAAACAGTTCTCTTTGTGTGCGTCTCTCTCCGACACCCACGCACACACACGGCAACCGTATTCCTCTCTGAGAGGCAAGACGCAAGAGAGCACGACCCCACCACTTTTTGCAACATCTCGCGCCATGCACGGATGTACCTAAAAGAAAGAAACATCTCCATTAGATTAGAAATTCGTAGGTCTGTGAAATATAGGCTATTCGAACCATATTTACTCTTAGTATTAGTATAGGACTACTTGTTTTTTATTACAGCCCGTGATAATTAATACATTACAAAAACATTGTAAAAATTAAAAAATAGGCTAAAAGAAAGTCATCCCACTCCTCTACGTCTACTTCTGTCATCGCTTGGATTACAGCGTCACGGCACGCGCCTTCTTTTTGAACGTGATTTTCTCCGAGGAGGGGGCGGAACATTTGGCAAATTACGCTGCCTGCAGCACTTATATTATTGCACTGGTTGGCTATTAACTGCAAGCAGACAGAGTGTCATTCAATGCATTGGAGAATACGGCGAACATAAATAAAGAAACAAAGTTGCTTGTCAGATTTTCCTAACAAGCAACCGTATTTTTTTAAATAAGCCCAAAAAAACGCAACCCGCGACCTGGGATTTTTTCACACAACTTTACAAAAAAAGAAGCCCAAAGTCGTGTATAATACACGGACTTGGCAACTATGATGGCATCGATATCTCCGTTTGCATTGAACTTTCAGCTTCGTAACTTTGCAGATATTGCTTATGCTCAAACAGCAACATTACACACTAACTTTTAACATTAAAAAAGTGAAATCGCAATGAACCACCCCTTTAAATAACAGGCGATCTATCGCTGAAATGAGTTATGGAGAGTGCTCGTTGCTGCTGTTATAAATTCTCTCTTGGCGCTCGTGCACAATGCGCAGTCTTCACACAGACGACCGAGCGCTTCGTTCTGGTAAAAGCACAAAAAAAATGCACACAAACGTGTCCTTGCTCTTGATATACAATCTGATGAACACCGCTTTGGTTTTAATGAGATAAAAAAAAACTATACGAGTTTAGAACTACACATACACACACACACACACACACACACACACACACAC